ACCATCAAGCTTTACTTATCTGTGTACACACCATCTAGCTTTACTCTATCTGTGTACACACCATCAAGCTTTACTTATCTGTGTACACACCATCTAGCTTTACTCTATCTGTGTACACACCATCAAGCTTTACTCTATCTGTGTACACACCATCAAGCTTTACTCTATCTGTGTACACACCATCTAGCTTTACTCTATCTGTGTACACACCATCAAGCTTTACTCTATCTGTGTACACACCATCTAGCTTTACTCTATCTGTGTACACACCATCAAGCTTTACTCTATCTGTGTACACACCATCAAGCTTTACTCTATCTGTGTACACACCATCAAGCTTTACTTATCTGTGTACACACCATCTAGCTTTACTCTATCTGTGTACACACCATCTAGCTTTACTTATCTGTGTACACACCATCAAGCTTTACTATCCAACTGATATTTTGCATTTTTTTACTACATGTTTGTCAGACAAGATTTCTTAAAATAATGGCCTTTGTATATATATAACACAAGTGAGTTTTCTCTTTTTTTATGATATTCCTCTCATTAACACAACAAATACACAAGTCACAATCACATGTAACTGGCCACATAATGAATAAATGAAACACACATAAACAAAACAATACCTCACATATAACAAACAAAATCAAATTAAAAATCTTATACTACATAAAGATTTTTGATACATATGAAATAATTATAAATCTATTCTTTAAATCTATTTTTTCCTTTTGGACACATGTAGAATAGAGTTGATAGATAGAATATAATTGTGTGGACATGTGCATGACATAACAAAATAAGATAAGACAGTTAAGAAGGTAAAATGAAAAGATTTATCTTAACAAATTCAAAATCCATGCACTTTATACAATGATGCAGTTGATGCTTCTAATCAATTCAGCTGATGGTTATTTTTAACTTTTTAATTCAAAGCTTTTATTAAAATAGTAAAAGTGGAACTGATTATACCATACTACATTGTAATGTCCTGTACTTTTGCCAAAATATGCAAGTTTTAAATAAATATATTCTCAAAATGTTGCAAACCAATTATAAAAACAAACAAACATCAAAAGTGCAAGACAGATTGGGTTCTTAAGCTACAAAAATATGTAGGATCTCAACAAAACAGTGTTTTATGAAATTTGACAAAAATGTATGGATATGCACCAATGGATTGACACAACTGGGAAATAATGTGCACCCTTATATTCTTATTAAGCCGTATCCAATTAATAAATGTCTATTAATAAACTCTCAGTCTTTCTTGAAATAAAGAAATAAAACAACACAAAGACTATAGATGATAAAAAAAAACCAAATATCATAAACAGGGACAATATTGTACATACATGTAAATTATTACTTAAGAATGAAAATTTGTATTGCCAAAAAATCTACTGGTAAAAATAAATTATGGACAATATTGCAATGAATTACAAGTAACATCAATGACTTATAAACAAATTCAGAAGAATGGTATTTCATTCAATTTACAAATGTATGTACAAATCTTTTCACATGAAGAAATAAACATGATTCAGAATCACTTTTTGTAGAGGGGTCATCTATAATTCTCCACAAATCCAGCTTTATACAAAATGTCTTATGACTAAAAGTTATTGTTATCTATACTGAAATATTTTTAGCTTACAAATATTTTGTCTAATTAAAGATATTTTGTGAAATTAATCACTGAGCTTAACAAACATAAGGGTACATGTATTTCAAAATAATTACATGTATGACCTGCTCATATATATCAACATTGCTTGTTTAATTCTTGTACATGAACATTTTTTGTAGTCTTTCAAAGAAAAAAAAAAAATTCCGGAAGATTCATTAAAATTTTAAGACATTTAATATTCTGATTCACAACATCCATAGCACTGTAACTTTTTTCAGGCTAGTTCGAATTTCATGTGTCAAACAATTATAACTGAGGCATTTGACAAATGGGAAAACTTTAAACTATCTTTGCAATTGAACAAATTGTTTAAGGAGATTGGAATATTTCTAATTTTAGTTTTTTAAAAGAATTTTAGATTCATTTAAATGGTTGTTATATGAATATTTCTAACCAAATTACTAAACATCTGTTGGAGATCTGCAGAAGACATGCATTTTTACAGGTAGGTTTACAATGGATCTGATGCACCTAATGTAGTAATATTTTTATTCACACTAAATGCTCAACTTGCAGCCAAAAGTTTGAGGGTCACCTCTCTTGCCTTTAGTAAAAAAGTAAAACATAGAAACAATAAACAGATTCATGATTGTCATCTAAGTATTAATGTAAAGAAAATTGCCCATTATCCATGACCCAGAAATTACTTAAGTACAACATTTACAGTGTAGAATTTCTATCAGGTTATTAAATTTGGGACAAAACTTTTCTCCTACAATGTACATGTATAATCATTTTCAAATTGTTAAAGGGGCACTAGCTACGAGATATAAAAAAAATATAAAATATGATTTTTTTTTATCAATCATAAATGAAAGTGAAATAGTGAAATAATTTATTGCTTTTAGCAGCCAGCATGGTTCAATTTTGTCAAAATAAGCTAAGAAACATTGAGTATGAATTATTCACTTGCAAGTGAATAATTCGACCTCATTGAATCCGTATTCATGTGAACTTCAATTTAACCCCTTAGCTAGAGTTGGATACCGCATGCATTGTGCGTGTTCAATTATTTAAAGGAAAAGAATGTCAACATTGAAAGTAAAACAAAGGTAAATCATTTGATTGACAACTTTGATCCACAAATAATCATTCTTACACAGGTAAAAACGATGATTAACATATATTTTAATCTATAATATGAAATTAAACAGACCTAGAAAAATCAAATTGCACGAGTCTGCTATCTATTTATAATTATATTTATGTTTATATTGCTAATATGGCAATCAGAGGTATTCGGAGGTCAACTCGACAGTTAATTAGATGGCGTCTAGACTAAAATACACACGAAATGAAGCTACATATTATCGAACCCATGCCCGGTATATTGTTTATTTTAGCCTTTTTATAATTTAAAAGAATGTTATACATTGTTATAAATCAAATATGAGAATTTGAGTCAAATCGGTGAACATGAATTTGACAGCTAGTGCCCCTTTAAGACTTTTTAATTTTCTCATGATGTAATTCACTAATTGAGCATATGCACACCAGCAGTTTTGGAATAGGTACATATACCTGCTCAGTGTGTGTATCTTAATTATAAACTTAAATTACAGTCTTCCAAAAATAATGTTTTTGATTTTTTTTACTCATTTTACTTACATACATGTATGTACAATTGTAAGCATTGCAAGATTATAACAGTAATAATGAAATTTTGACACACCATTAACATGTAGCACTATAGAATTTCCAAGTTGATTCAGAGCATCAGACCCTATCAACTTTACTGCAGTTCTGTAATCACAAAAAAAACAAACTTCCTAAAGTGTTCATGTATTTGAAAAAATTGTGAGTGATTCAATAATCAAATGGAAATGGAAAAGACATTTTCACAATGTAGAACTGTTAAAAACAACTTTGGGATACATTTAAATGATTTACCTAACTTTTATAAACATGATAAAAGCTACATTCAAAATGTATCATACGAGTACATGTTCATGCAACAGAACTTCCATTGCAGGTAAAAATGTACTAATACAAATGTATGCTGACCTGTCACAATACTTCATACTTTTGTGTAATTCACCTTCTGGGGCACAATCCAAGCCTCTTAGTATAAAGTGTATAATAATACAGAAAAGTATTAGGTAGTTGTAACACTACATTGTACCCTAGAATACAGTAAAACCTAAAATAAGACTCATAGAGGTAAACAACTATTTTTCATTTATCATGTGTATTACATGTAAGAGCTTGAGATATTGTATAAACATTATTCCAACACCAAACTTTTGTTGAAGACCATACATGTATGTTGTACATGTAGTTTGGACCTCTAGATGTTTTTTTTTGGGTTTCATTGGGAATTGTTCATTTACATGCAAGTCAAAAGAAATCTTTACACATTTAACATGTTTAAACATTTAAATGCAAAGGATGTGCAGAAAGAGAATGAATTTTACATAAAACTTAAAATTTAATACATATTTGAAAATGTCTGTAAATTGCACATTAAGTTAGTTAAAAAACTTGATGTTGTTAGATCCTATCCTTATAGCTAGTCACAATGATGATCTGGCTCTGCTGCTGAGGTTGATGTGGTTCTTTGCAAATCACCAACTGATCTAAAACTGCTGCTCTCCCTGGGTGTAAATACAGCACTAGCACTGCTTGATGGCACAACATTAGCATCGTTAATTTGCCTTCTGATCTTAGTAAGTTCCTCAGCTTTTGTGCTAGCATAATGATGATACATCATCTTAACACCTGTTACGACAGAAAGACGAAGTCTTAAATTGTAACGAAAGGAATTCTTCTTGAATTTAACAGCCCTTTTGTAACGAACTTCCAAGTCTCTTATTTTCTGATCTAATAGGGCTATTTGTTGACACGCCCTCTCAAACTTGATCCTAGCATCACTTTCCTTTTCCAATAGATGACTGTGGTCCATGGATGTTCCTCTATCAACCGTCCCTGCCATATTAATTTGTATTTTCTGTGAAGAGTAAGTGCAGAGATAACCTTGAATATTCTTATTATGACAAGAAATAAACACTCAGCATGTTGAAACACTTATTACGTGACTTTGAGAAACAGCTGTTTTTGTAGACATTCTATCTGACTGTGTGTGTATAAATAAGGAAAATGTTTTGACCATGTATTTTCTCTTTATCCTACAATTGTTTGTTCGCATACAGGACTAGAGTATTGCGTCTGTAAAGACTGGAAAATGAGGATTAATTTTCAGAAATCTCTCTTGACAATAAACAGGAAGTGATAATAGTTCCAATAATCTCGGGTTTTATCGATATCGCTCCCAGTACATTTGGAATGCCTCTATGATTATTATCTCTTGCAGCAACTACTCTGCTAGCCTGGCATCCTGACCCAATCTAGTACTTCGTCTAATGTCGAGTAGTGAGCCAGGATCCCAGGCTACTACTCTGCTGGTTAAAAAATTTAAAGTTGCAGTTTTAAAAAAATGACATCACAAAATTATATGATGGAGAGACTAGGTAAGGCATTTAATGGTATGTGCGGTATGTGCAAATAATTATATTTCTGAAAAATCACAAAATTATATGATGGAGAGACTAGGTAAGGCATTTAATGGTATGTGCGGTATGTGCAAATAATTATATTTCTGAAGTGTTAAGTGTTATAATAGTCCAATTATATTGGTACGGCGGTTCTTCGGCAGGGGGTTCGGGGACCGCTCAAGGCCCCAAGAAAATTTGGGATAAATGGTGCAAATCCTGCATTCTGACCCTCTCCTGACATTTAAATTTCATTCCTGAAAACCCCATTTTTATGAGCAACATTTTGACTTATGACACCTTTTTTTAATAGGCAACTTCAAAACATAGAAAAAAGAATTTGAAACGTGAAATGTGTCAAAAAAGGCAACAATCCAATGGACAGAAAAAGTGGAATATCTTAGCTAAAATTAATACTTTCAGCAAGGGTCTTGGCATGCATCAGCTCCTCCTTGGAAATGTTTAGAAAAAAAAAGAAAAAAATGTGTGCAATTCTGTATACCGGTTGCAGGAAACTAATTTTAGATTATCAAAGCTTCGCAAAAAGCAGTCAGGGGGTAAATGGAACTATGATCAGAACAGATTATCAAAATTCCTTGTACAAAGACCGAGAAATAAATGATCGACCTGTGGAATTTTTCATATTTATCAAGTCTGGGTAAGACAAATGAGGATAACTATGACACTGCAAACAAATCTATTTTCATTGTGAATATGGTCACACTGCCATAACGATCAATGAGTTCATGATGACAACGCTAGAACTTTTGAAGTGATGACTTGAAATATAGTAGCAACATAACAATGTTCAAACAACTTAGAACAAACGAAGTCATATTATTTTCAGCTGATCCAGAGAGAGACATCCCAAATTTACCATCATTTCTTAAGGGATCGTGATTAGTGTAGAAAATTGCATTCACGTTAAGTTCAGCTGCACAGAAATATCTTAAATCGCAGGCTAATGTTTCATTATCTACATAAAAAAGCAAAAAACAAAAATAAATAAAATAACAATGTGCATGATGTGGATAAAGGTTATTTTTTATTAAATAGAAGAACAGATATTTCAGGAAAATGCAAACAGGTGGATGCGTTGTGAGAATATAATGGAATAACACGACAAAAAAAAATAAAAAATAAAAATGAGTCACTAAGGCCAGGGCTGGTCTATCATTATGTACTTTTCTTTCTAAGGATCAGGCAAAAGGTGGCACATCAACTACATGTATGTGACTGCTGGATTAATATCCACAGCGTATATTCGTAAAAGAGGGGCGAAAGATACCAGAGGGACATTCAAACTCATATGTCGAAAATAAACAGACAATGCCATGGCTAAAAAAGAAAAAGACCAATAGACAAACAATAGTACACAAAACACAACATAGAAAACTAAAGACTGAGCAACATGAACCCCACCAAAAACTGGGGGTGATCTCAGGTGCTCCGGAAGGATAAGCAGATCCTGCTCCACATGTGGCACCCGTCGTGTTTCTCATGTTACTACAAACCCGGTAATAAGTCTAATTCGGTAGGTCATATTCGGGGAAAAGGGGACGGGATTGTAGTTACAACATTTGGAACATATCCATTAATTTTTGTGAAACGGATATTCCATACCGGTCAACCAACTCGTATCATGATAGGAAATACAAGCCCTGGAATATCCTATCAACTGGGAGATATATACTCCGTATGCAGGCGCTGCTGGAATGTTGCTACATAGAAATGAAAAGTTCACAATTGGGAAGCTGAAATCATCTCTTTTGTCGTAAAGTTTTGTTTTCAACTTTCCCTCATTGTCAATTTCTAGATGTAAGTCAAGATATGAGGCAGACTTAACTGTATCTGTTGTATCCTTTATCTCAAGTTCGATGGATAGATTCATTCAATATAGTCACCAAATTGGGAATTATTAGTGAGAGAACATCATCTATATAGTTGAAAGTAAAGTTAAAGGAAACTGCTAACTTCTTTCTTCCTTAGAAGATCCTGTATGAAGTCATCCTCATATGAATAAAGGAACAAGTCGGCAAGAAGAAGGGCACAGTTTGGACCCATGGGAATGCTGATTTTTGTTGAAAAACATGTCCTCCAAACGTAACAAATATGTTTCCAATCAAGAAATAAAGCATCTTGATGATGTCAGTTTCAAAAAATTTGTTGTTAGAATCAGAGTGATTTTTTACAAAGTAGGATTTTTCCGTCCCTAAGACAAGATACTTGTATGTCTTGTATCTACTTTGGCCATTCTTTTTTATGAAACAAAGCAGGACCAACTCTTTCAATTTGTCTTTTAGTTTGGAATGGGGAATACTTGTATAAAGTGTAGAAAAGTCAAATGTTTTAATACTATTGCAAGATGAAAGAGATTTAGATTGTATTTACTCTAAAAGATCTTTTGAATTTTTCAGTATCCACATCTGATTCACTCCACCTCTAGAATAAGTAGTTTCACAATAACTTTGAAGCCCGGCTTTGATTTTTATAAAATTGATGTTAATAATTTAGAAAGAGGTTTCGTGGAGCACTTGGAAGACCAAGCAATATACCGTTGTTTGTAAGGACACTTATCATGCTTATGTAGTTTAGGTATCCAATACAGTGATGGAAGATCCAGTTCTTCATCTTTGGTTGAAATTCCGAAGGAACATAGAACAGACCTATGATTATCCAGGATTTCCTCTTTAGTAAGTGTCGTGGGGGTATATGTTGAGTTTCCAAGTGAACTGTCATTATACCTAATTCATTTATCAAGCAGTTTATGTAATGTGATTTACACACAAAAACGATGTTCTTTGGGGCTTTATCTGCGGGGACAACAACATATTTGTCATGCAGGTAGGACAAGTGTTTTGCAACATTTGGGTCTTTAAAAAAATTGATATAGCATGGGTATTAATAGACCCATTCAGTTTCTTAATTCTGATTTGTATTAACAACCTCACAGCCTTAATCCATTGGGAAAGAGTATCTACGTCTTCTTTCTCACGTTTAGCACATTGCCTGGCATAATCCTTGCTTGCTTTCAGATTTTAGCGTCACAGAACGCTTACTTTCAGCTTTTTTTTTCGCTATCACACAGTAGATTGTATATTTGTAGAGGGTGAAACTCTGATATTACTAGTACTGCAATCAATATACAAACAAGTGCCTTACGGAACTTTAGCATATTTGGTCTTTTTTTTTCATAAAATTTACTTTAAAAGCATGTAAAAATGTATTTAAAGTTTCACACTTTTGTGAAAGGACGAAAAATTCTTAAATTTCCAATCAAAAGAGTGTTAAATTACAAGAGAAAATTATTCGCATTCTGTTTTTCGTATGTTTTATTCAAAATGTAACTTTCTTCGTGAAAACTCTTTAAACAGCGTAGTTGAGGACTGTTTAAGTGCTTATTTTCAAGTATTTGACCGTTAAATTGACATTTTTCCGACCGATTTATAATGTCAAGAAATGTTTGTATGGTGTTGTTAAAGTCGGTTTATATTCCCATCGTCCTGGTGACTAGAAGCAGAATGATGTGCTGTTTAACCATAATGATTTCTTATGAATAATTACCTGTAATACACAGGAAAGCTGCATATACAGGCAGGTGCCATCGCCCTTTGTTTTCACAGCTTCAAATCGTTGATTTGTCTCTATCGCGAGTAGGTCAGCCGGTAAAAGGATTTGGGACAACTCATCTATTGTATTTTCATGATTACTTAAACTTTGTGGTGGGTGCAAAGTGACTGACACTATTTTTGTTGCAAATAATTGCCTCACAACGTTTATTTCTATTATTAGAAATTACTAACTTTATTCTTTGTTCTTCCATGCCACTGAGTCATAGTATTCATACATAAAAAGTCATTTAACTGATGTTCTAAAATCTATATGTTTAAACCAGAACACTTGTAGAAGGCCATAAATGATGCTACGGTATATAACAGTTATACGAGTAATCTAACTTGACCAGGTATTAATGAATGTATACCGTATATTGCTTATGACTCATAAATAGGATTTTCTATCTTTGTTATTTCTTGTAAAAACCGTTTTCTTTAATCCTGTGCAAAAACCTTGTTTTATATATATATATATATGTTTATGCCCCCGCCGTAGCGGAGTGGGCATTAAGTTTTACCCTTGTCCGTCTGTCCGTACGTCCAAAAGTTGGTTTCCGTTCTCTAACTTTAGTTTGCCTCAACCAAATGTTATGAAACTATACACAATGCTTATAACCACAGAACACAGATCAAGTTTGAATTTTGGTGGCGTCACTTGAACCGTTCTAGAGTTATGCCCCTTTATAAATGGAAAAATGGCAAAATTTTTAGTTTCCGTTCTCTAACTTAAGTTTGCCTCAACTAAATGTTATGAAACTTATACATAATGCTTATTACCACAAAACACAGATCGAGTTTGAATTTTGATGGCATCACTTTAACCGTTCTAGAGTTATGCCCCTTTATAAATGGAAAAATGGCAAAATTTTTAGTTTCCGTTCTCTAACTTAAGTTTGCCTCAACTAAATGTTATGAAACTTATACATAATGCTTATTACCACAAAACACAGATCGAGTTTGAATTTTGATGGCATCACTTTAACCGTTCTAGAGTTATGCCCCTTTATAAATGGAAAAATGGCAAAATTTTTAGTTTCTGTTCTCTTACTTAAGTTTGCCTCAACCAAATGTTATGAAACTTATACACAATGCTTATAACCACAAAACACAGATCGAGTATGAATTTTGATGGCATCACTTCAACCGTTCTAGAGTTATGCCCCTTTATAAATGGAAAAATGGCAAAATTTTTAGTTTCCGTTCTCTAACTTAAGTTTGCCTCAACCAAATGTTATGAAGCTTATACACAATGCTTATTACCACAGAACACAGATCAAGTTTGAATTTTGGTAGCGTCACTTTATACCGTTCTAGAGTTATGCCCCTTTATAAATGGAAAAATTGCAAAATTTATTTTCCGTTCTA